GCTACACCGTCGCTCTTTGATGTCTATCTTTTACTGAGTATCCACAGAAATGTAGAGTTTCACCTGTAGCGACAACAAGATAATTTGCGCTGAGAACCATGCCCATCTTTTAGTTTGCAACAAAACAGAGGGAAGATGCAATTGATTGATTGATTGCAGAATGCTTGTTGAGCCGGAATAAACATTCTGTCGTTTCACCATGATTAACGAGCAAGAGATTTTCGTAACTGATCGTCCAAAAACACTTAATCTGAGATCATCTACCAAAATAAGTACGCACAGTACAACGCATCCTTGGCATGTTTTATGCATTTATTCCAAGAGCTGACTGTGGATGCGGTAGTGGACACTGTGAAAAGGAGCTGAGAAAAGACCGATCTATGCAGAATTCCTAAGTTCCTTGGTAGATTATAAGATTTGCTGCGTTTTTTGACCAGACATATTGATGCGGTCAATCGGAGAGACATTCGTTTATCAGCGCATGGTATTTGGATGATTAATCTCATTATCAGTGCTCTCGACCACCGCACTCTAATCCATCAGCATATTTTACAGCTTACTTATCCAAAATTATAATCTGTTGGCTTGTTATCATAAACTGAGCTTCATCGGCTTTACTTTATCCCTGATCCCGGTATCAGCTTTCTTTCTTAAAGATCCTGAACGCATAAAGAGACAACTACTGGTCCTGCTTGATATGCGACATATAACATTTCTGCTTCGCTATCTTACTCTGTTCCATTTGCTATTCTGTTCGGTCAAGTGTCTTTCTCATTCGTGGCTTCTCATATATACCGTCGTTATCTAGCCGGTATTGCATAATCACCGTCGCTATCATGCTATCGATTGAACAGTGCGTCGATCTGTTTCGTACGAAAATAGCATACGTTGTTATGACTAAGATAAACAGTAATAACAAAACAAAAACAAAATGAAACATTATTAAACTTAGCAGAAAAATTTCGGTCTTTGAATGAACTTTACATTCAGTACTACAGCTGCTTTTCCAGTTCATTTCAGTATAATTCACTTCAACAGTGACAAACTACAGGTTACTCTGGATAGAGCACATTAAAAACGATGGAATAATCTATGAGAGAATATGCAAAGAAACAGGAGTATTTAACGTGATGGTACACTAAATTACGAATGTTGGATCTGTTATCACAGAATCAATGCATATTCAGTAATAGGACCAACCTTTATTTAATACATAAAGCAGAGGCTCGAGCTCTACGTTGACGGAACAAAACTTACAGCTGCCTGTCCTTGACAACGAGATCTTTGTAAATGTCCGCGTAAGTTGTGTTGAAATCGTACAGGTTAGGTTTGTCAGGGGATGCGCCCGGAAGTTTTACCAAATTCCCGATGCCAAACGATCGCACCCAGAATCCTTTTTTACTGAAAATGTAAAGGACTGAAGTTATCATTAGCTCCTGACAAAAATAGGCGCCGACTACCTTAGAAAGCTATGCGCTTCCATACTTCGGTTCATATTGCTCGAACAAACGATGGCGAACTTCAGTTTCTCGGGCATTGCTGAACTAAGTACAAGGCTGGTAAAATACAGTCACAATGAGTTACAGACCACAAGATTCGACTGAAACACTATTCTGCTTTCTGGTCACTGACGTATTTTCTTGAGATACAAATTAGCAATCGCTCGAGGCACTCAGCTGTGTATTACTGTATTAAACCACAATATACCAACAGGTTATCATTAAGGTTTGTCATAGGTTGTCATTAATTTTAAGTCAACGAAAATTCATTTTACTTTTTCTTAATACAAAAGTAATGCAAATTTCATCCAATCAAAAACACGCCATGCAGATCAGACAGTAAATTTCACGTCATCTCCCTTTAAATGGCGGTGCTGTGGTTTTCATCCCGTCGGCGATTTCAGTTCCATTTGTTTTGTCCCTCACGGTAAGTGATCAATTTTCAGATACTTTTGGGTTTGTTTAATCACTCTTCTCGGCTTTTTTGGCCGTGTTATGTCTATAAGTTTGTTTTCTACTATTCCACGCTTGTTTTCCTTTGTCTTTGATCCGGCCGTCATCTCGTTACGCATTTTCTGACCGTCTGCGTTTTCTCCAGAAGTTATTTTTCGCCGTTTCTGGCTTTACTTGTATTCTTTTCACGTTGCTCGTACATGTTGAAATTAATTGATGCCTCACGCCATCAATCGGTCAGCGGAGATCATAACTGTTCTGATTTAGATGTCTGCTTTGGCTGTTCTTTGTTCTATTTCATTCTTTCTTATGTTCGAACTTTAGTGACGCATGTATTGCTATATGTACTGTTTCATACGTTGCTGTTTTGCTTTTCTTTTCCCCTTTCCAGAAGATTCTTTTGAATTCGAGCTCGTCAGTTGGTTTCAAGAGTAACTTTCTTGTTCTACGTATTTTTTGACGCCACGAATGTTCACTGTATGTTTCCTTTTCGTTATTATTTTCTGAAA